TACCCCAGCCGCACGCCGCGCTTCCCAAGGGCCGCCACATCTACATGCTCATAGCCCACGCTCATCGTCGACACGGCCTTTAGGTTGGGCCCCGCGGCGTCCATCAGCTCGTCGTCGACGGCCATAGAGAGCAGGATTATGATTCCCGCCGCGCCCGGTGCGTTCTGCAGCAGCCACTCGCGCGTGCACGGAGCCGACTCGTCCGGCCAGGTGACGAGCTCGATGTCCGTGCGCGTCGTGAGCATGGGCATGATATCCGGCCCCAGGTTGCGCGTAAGGACGATCTTCTGCTTCGTGGGCGCGCTAAGGTGCGATCCGATAGACGTCAGCCGGCGCGTCGCACGAGACGGTGAGGGGGGCAGGGACCTCATCTTTTTTGTTGACTGCAGTATGTGGGATGGGGGGAGGGGGAAGCAGGGCGATGGACGGGACGAGAGCACTTACTGATAAGTCGCCGGCGCTCGGGATTCCGGTCCGTAGTTTGGGCTCGGAGCTCGGCCCGCCCCACATATATCTTCCTGCTGGACATGTTGTCGCTCTCGTTCGCGCTGTAAACGCACCACCTGACCTTTGAAGATACGGTAGTTGCGCTGGGGTGGCGTTATGTGCCTCCTCGACAGGTTATCTCCCGAAAGTGAACTGCTACATCACCTACATAGGGAAGCGCGCCCTGCGGCCGATTGTGCTCAGCAAGGCGTAGCAGACGGCCAGAAAGAATGGCCCAGACATGATCCACTGGCTTTTAGAGCGTTGCAATATTCCATGCTTGGTAGATATGCAAAGAGACGGGAGGCATGAGGCGTGGCTAAGTGGGGGTGGAAAGCGCGACGAAGACGCAGGGCGCACCAGTGAATGCGAATGAATGAGGAAGTAAATTAGCCTTCAGCAGAAACGCATTGCTCTGCCACACGTTGAAACTCGTCCCTATTTGTGAGGTTGAGGTTAGCAGAGGCTTCGCGGCTGCGAAGATTGTGCTTGGGGGGAGTCCGAGTGCTAAATGAATAACGGAAAGGAAATCCTGAAAGGTGTCCTCGATCACTTCGATTCCAGGGCAGCTTTCTTGATGCAGCCCGCGAGGCATCGCAATACCTGTGTGCGTCCAGGACTGCTGCCGGACGCGTCCTCGAGGAAGGACTAGAGATGTTAGATTAAATTCGTCGGTCGACAAACCATGACACTCACTGGTTCTTGAGTTGTCCCTTTATTATCTAGCAGAATCGATGACCATGATTGAAAAGATGATACCACTTACACTCACAGACAGTTCGGATATGGACAATCGAGCGGCGAAGAGAGGTGTAACGTGCAGCTTCCCTAGTTCAACAAGCTCGTGACGTCGCACGTGAGATGACGCGTCTCTACTACACAAAGAGACGCGCGTCGTCGTCGCGTCGCGTCCTGCACATAACGCGTATCTTTTCCTTCTCCTCCTCATCGAGTCTGCTCGCTGACCCCCGTCCGATTATGCAAGTCTCGACCCTTCATCATCTGATAAGTTCCACGACTGGTGGGAGGGAAGCCACGCCGCAGTCTGGTCGCAGCCCAGTGAATCATGCAGCTGCGCCTCCTTCTCTCCGAACCTTACCCACATCAGGCTTGTTCTTCTGAGATGGCTTGCCGAAGCCTCATCGATGCATCGCGTTATGGCTGGGAAGAAGCACTGTTTGAGGTCAGTTTTCAACCTTTTTCTCGTCGTGGTTGAGAGGCGTCCTTTTGCGGTTCCGTCGCACTTTCCTTCGCATTTCTCTGCAGCCTGTTCACATTGCGGCCACAACAGGCACACGTCGACGCGTCGGGGCAGCAACACGGAAGATTCCACTGCGTTCCGAAAACGCGCGGCCGGCGATCGCCGTGACGGCTTGAACGCGTAAGACAGGTGGCGCTTAGTCAGCGGTGTGGTGCCGTGGTGCCGACGACCCTCGTTGTCGTTGTCTTTCTCTTTCTGCCATCATCATCTCTTTGCGATCTGCCGCCATGTCCGTCGAGAGTCCGTCGCAGGCGCCGCCGTTCGCCCAGCCTGGCCAGCACGACATCATCTCCGAGATTTTCAACCTCGACTTGTTCGCCAACAACAACGACTCAAATCCGTCCAGCGCCTCAAACGCCTCCTCCCCGCAGTCCCACTACTCCCATCTCGCCACCCCTAGCCCGCTCAACGACACCCTCCACACCTTTCCGCAGACCCAGGGCTCCGACTGGGACTTTGCCGCCATGTTTGCTGGCGATCACCAGATGAAAGACGACATTTTTGGCAGCGGGTCAGCCGTTCTGTCAGCATTCGAGCCCTCGCCCATGGTCGACGCAAACTACGCCGCCTCGAACATGGGCATCGACCCTCAGCTCATGGAGTCCCCCACCGCCATCGTCGAAGACGAGGAGCAGGAGGCCCAGCCCGAGCCACAGCCTGAGCCTGAGCCGCAGCCGGTCAAGCCAGAAGAGAAGATCATGCTCACGATCCAGCCCGTCAAGACTGCCGGCCATGGGTCCAAGAGGCAGGGCACGGTCGCGAGCGGTGGCATCAGCAAGACGCGCGCGGCGAAGAAGGTCGCCCCTCCGTCCCCTATCGTCTATCAAGCCGCATCCCCGGCGCTCTCCGCCAGCGACGACATGGGCGAGGAAGACTGGCGGCCGTCGCCAGAGGTGCTGTCGAAAATGTCGAGCAAGGAGAAACGCCAGCTGCGCAACAAGATCAGCGCCCGGAATTTCAGAGTTCGTCGCAAGGGTAATTGTCTTCGGGTTTTTCGCGTGACCCTATCTGACTCATCACACAGAATACATCACTCACCTCGAGTTCGACATCGCCGAGCGGGATCGTCTGCTGGACGCTATTCGCACCGATCTCACGAGCACTCAGCACGAGAACCAGGCCTTGCGGAAGGAGGTCGAGACCCTCAAGCAGGCCTTGTTGGCAGGCCGCACTGGCTCCGTCGAGCTTCCCCCTCCCAAGGAGCTCGTCAGTGTCCAGGAGATGCTGGAAGCCACCTCCAACGCCGCTGCCGGCCCATCCACTCCCCCCGCCACTGCTTCCGGCGACGACAAGCTCCTCAAGCCCAATACCCAGAAGGACCTCAGCCCGAACGCCGGCTCTGCCTTCTGGGGCGGCTGGGGCATGGGCAGCGGTATCACTCCGGTGCACACCGTCCTCGTCCCATCGCCGTTCGAGCTCGGGTCCATGGAGTCGCAGGACTCGGAGAAGGAAGCCCGCCGCAAGGCCCTCCAGGAGAACATCAACCCGGCCATGAACGAAAACCTCAACCCGAACCTCAACGCACAAGTTGGCGGCATCGTGCCCAACAAGGCGGGCTTCGATAGCTTCGCCGACCGGGAGATGTTTACGATGAAGTCCCTCGACGCGTACGTGACACATCTTTTTCATGCTGCCTGACGCTGACGCGATCCTTGCGTAGATATCGCATGCACCTCTGGTCGAAGATGGCGGCCAGCCACCCCCCGCAGCACCAGCCTCCCACGCCCTACTCCCCATCGTCGTCGCACACGACGCCCTCGCCACCGGGCTCCCCGTCTCCCTTCTACACTGGCCCAGCCCAGCCTCACGGCCCGTATCTCTCTGGCCTGGCTGGTGCTCTGCGTCCCGCGTACTTCAAGGCACCTACCACATCTCCTTCCCTTTCAAGCTTGCTCTCTGGCAAGCACACGGGCACGGGCTTGTCGTCAATGTCGTCGCTCGCAGCCGCGTTGCCGTCGGTGAAGGAAGGCAAGGAGACGTCGCAAAGGAGCAAGGCGCCAAATGGGCACGAAGAGAAGCAACAGCAGCACAAGGAGGCCGCCGCGGCTGCGATGGTCGCCTCCCAGACGCTGATCGGCAAGCTCGGCAGCGCGTTCTGGGACGCGTTCTCTGGTGCGCCGGCTTCTGGCGCGTCATCGTCGTCGTCGCATGGTAAGTGTATGCTTTGTTTGGCGATATGACCGAAGCTGATGGTGTTACAGGATCTCTGGACAGCGACAAGGTCCGCAGGGTGTTGGAGGGTAAGGCTGTGTTGAAGGTCGTCGATGTGGAGGCGGCGCCTGCGCAGGCGCCAAAGTCGCCGACACCGTCGATGGCGTCGCTGAAGTCGAACGACAGCCTGCAGAAGCCGATCCGGCCGACGCTCCGCGAGAAGTGCTCGACGGACAAGTGCGCGTCTATGCTGGAAGAGAGCATGCGCAGTCTCAGCCTAGGGAGGCGGGCGTAGAGCGTCGAGCGCGTTCTCAATGTGCGCTTAGACGCTCCTGCCCTTTCTTCAACTTGTCCCCCACCTGCTCCTCATCATCATCATTGCATTGGTCCCTCTGTCCGTCCCGTCGCCCATCCGTCCGCACCCATCCGCTCATCTATACACATACACTTTTTCTCGGATTCTGAAGCATAACTTTCTCATGTCGCTCCTTGCGGTGGCCATCCTCGGTATCCGTTTTGGTATTTATCTTGTCTTCTTCCCTCACGTACCTCCCTCCCCACTCCCATTACTACTCGTCACGCCGGCCAATCTCTGTCGCCGTGCCCGTTTCCATCTCCCGGACTCGATTATTCTTGTGTTCATATAGCACTGTCCCTACCCGCGCCTGCCGTTCCGCTCGCACGCCTACCTGCCCGTCCGTCCGTGCGTGCGTGATTGTTCGTTCCCAGCGCGAATCTCGTCTGTTTCCCTAGTGGCTGCCCTCATATACTTACTACTGTCATCGGTGCTCGAGTAATAGTTCAAGAGAAGTGTAACATACAGAATTTCACGTATCAATAAAGGTCTTTCAAGTAGCTTTGGAGGATATGATGTGAGTGGCGTCGGCTGTGCGCACTTGATGCCGTACACTAATAGGTGGTGCGTACGTACTGTCGAAGGGATACATATGGATCAATCTTTGCCATGACAGGTCGGAGGTCTGATCAGTGATGAATCGATGAAGTCTTGGGCGTCTTCTTGCCGGCCCTGCGTTCAGAATCCAGATACGATTTTCATTCCTCGAAGCATGGCAAAAAGACACCGTCTGTCTTCACTCGGGAATGGACGTTAAGGGGTTTGAACCCTTGACCTTTCGCATGCAAAGCGAACGCGCTACCGCTGCGCCAAACGCCCGATATCTTAGCAGACAATCACTGCCATATCCCCAAATTATATACACACATGTTTTGACTGAACCGAGTTGTCGCATCCTCTCGCAGTCCGTCCATAGGTGAGCGCTAGAAGGTCGCAATGCCTTCCAACAAGAGTCGCCTCTGGTTGATCATATGTATGTAAGCTGGCGGTAGTCCAACTTCAAGGGAGTCGGCAAGGAGTCGGGGTTCGACCTTATCGTGCCCCAACCATACACGCTTTCATCCGCCCTCCATGCTCGTCGTGCACTGCTCTGGAACTCCTCGCGAGGTAGGTGAAGAGACGTGACCTAGATGCACGCCTGCCAGTCAAATCATCGACCCGTTCTACGCATCCTGCTCACTGTCGACGCGTTCGACAAGCGTGATTCTCCTGCTGATCTATGCTGATAGATCGGTCTCGCACACGGGACTGCAGCGTCGTCCCAAGTAGCCGCCTGCATTACTTTCTATGCCGAGTTCTTCGGGAGGACGGCTATGCTCAAGTGGGACGCCGTCTGCAAGGAGGCGGCCAAGTTTCTGCCTTATCTCGAATCGAAATGGGCACCCTACGTCGAGGAGATGAAGGGTTAGTGTAACATAGATATTGTGGGACCGACGCGATAGGATCGCGAACGGTATGCAAGGCATACAACAGGCGACTGAAGATGGAAAAACTTTGCAGGTCTAGCTGAAGGCGCGGGGCAACCTTTCCTCGCTATCCTTGCCCTCAACGTGCGAACGGAGATCGCATACGGGATGGCGAAGAAGGCGGAGAGCGATGGCTGCACGGCACTCAGCTACTTTGGGAACGGATCCGCTTTCATAGCGCAGAACTGGGACGTGAGTACGATTCCTTGGTCCAGGGAGCCACCCATCGAATCCACCGGAACATCTCACTCACCCATCATGTCCAGTGGCTCCCAGCGCAGAAGGCCAATCTCGTCCTCTGCCACATCGCCCAACCGGGGAAGCCATCCATCAGCATGATCACCGAGGCTGGTATCATTGGCAAGATCGGGCTGAACGACCGCGGCGTCGGCGTCACTCTGAACGCCATCCGCGCTACGGGCGTCCGCTTCGACGCCCTGCCCACGCATCTCGCCCTACGCACCGTGCTCGAATCCGAGTCGCGCGCCGCAGCGGTGGACCGGCTCGAGGGCGCCGGCGTCGCAGCTGCGTGCCACATATTGATCGCAGATGCCACCGCGCCGGCGGTCGGGCTCGAGTGCAGCGTAGCAGACATCGTTCGCATCGAGGACAACAGCGGCCCAGGCTGCGTCGTGCACACAAACCACTTCCTGCAGCCGCATGTGGGGCGTACGGACCCGGCGATTCTGTGGCAGGACTCGGTGCCGCGGCTGGAGCGCATTACGACGCTGCTGAAGGAGAGGAAAGTGACGAAGATGGAGGACATTGAGCCGATGCTGGAGGATGAGGAGGGTTACCCGACTTCAATCTGCCGGGAGGTGAGCGGGGAGTATAGCAGTGCGACGCTGTTCAGCATTGTTATGGACTTGAAGGGTGCGGAAGCGCGGGTACGCGAAGGACGGCCAATTGTTGCGGAGGGTGTTCTGTCTTTGAAACCGGGTACCGCCGTGCTTGCTTGACCTTTTCGATATCTTACAACATGAGGAAGACCTGCGTCTATGAGTCACTTTGTGACCAGTCGACGAGTGTTGTATATGACCGGACACCTTGGCAGTCGCAATGCTGGGCTGGCCGCTCCCGAACAGATTCCGATGTCCGCGCCACAGGATGGAACGGCGAGGGCATGCAACAAGCGCGACGCCTCGCACGGAATGGTGGTTCGACCTGAGCATGAAATGTCATGCTCTTGACGCGACGACTGAAATGCTGACGGAGAGTTGAATTGCTGACGTTGCGCAGATCTCGTCTTCGCTGGCGGTCGTGAAAGTCGAACATCAGCAATGACGCCTGCGGCGCATGGGAGTTTGGCATCTAATCTGATACGGGTCTGATCAGGTCGGACGAGACCGGTCGCGACGCGGTCATTTGTTTGGACGCGACGCGCGTCGCGTCAACGGACGCGATCACATGCACCGTGTTTACCGTGATGTGACCATAACGGGCAGTTTTGTTTTTAAGGGGCAGTTTTGTGGTTCGCGTCTCTTCGCTCCCGACCACCACCTCCCACTTGGTCTTACCTGCACCCGCCTTTCTCTTCCCGCCTAACACCATGTCTTCTTCCCGCGCTACCTCTCCTGTCCGTGCTACGCGTGCCACGACGCCCGGCCCCACGCCGAGCAAGAAGGTACGCAGTCCGCCATGCCGTCGCGTCGCGTCGCGTCTGACCTCGCCTTTACGCAGGCTGCTGCCGCTCTCGAAAAGTTCTCGCTGGAGTCGCCTACCAAGCCTTCCGCCAAGAAGATGGTCGATGACAAGAAGCGCTCTGTCTCACCGGCATCTGTCACGGACGAGGTCAAGGAGAAGAACGCCGAGCTCCAGGACACGACCGACGAGGATGACTGGCGCTTCCAGTACGTTGGCGAGGTCGATCTCCCTGAGTGTAAGTGGCCTATCTTATCACGTCGCGACGCGTCGCGCTTATCACTCTTCACCAGCCGAGGAGCCTCTGCTCAAGGACTCCATTCGCCGTTTCGTTCTGTTCCCCATTCAATACCCTGAGGTGCGCCACGCGGTTATCGCTCTTTGCGACACGTACTGACGCGTCCCAGATCTGGCAAATGTACAAGAAGGCTGAAGCTTCCTTCTGGACGGCGGAGGAGATGGACTTGTCCAAGGACCTGCACGACTGGCAGAACCGCATGAACGACAACGAGCGCCACTTCATCTCCCATGTCCTCGCCTTCTTCGCCGCCTCGGATGGCATCGTCAACGAAAACCTCTTGGAGCGCTTTTCCGGTGAAGTGCAGGTCCCTGAGGCCCGCTGCTTCTACGGTTTCCAGATTATGATGGAAAACATCCACTCGGAGACCTACTCCCTGCTCATCGACACCTACATCCGCGACCCGACCGAGCGCGACCACCTCTTCAACGCCGTCGAGACTATCCCCTGCGTCGCGCGCAAGGCTCAGTGGGCTCTTCGTTGGATCAACGACGACCGCTCGTCGTTCGGCATTCGCCTCGTCGCCTTCGCCGCCGTCGAGGGTATCTTCTTCTCCGGCAGCTTCGCCAGCATCTTCTGGCTCAAGAAGCGTGGCTTGATGCCTGGCTTGACCTTCTCCAACGAGCTCATCACTCGCGACGAGGGCATGCACACGGACTTCGCTTGCCTGCTCTTTGCCCACCTCCGCCGTCGCCCGCACCAGGATGTCGTCCGTCGCATCATCATGGAGGCCGTTGCCATCGAGCAGGAGTTCTTGACTGGTACGTGGTCCGCCTTAGCGTCGCATGCCTTTCGCTAACTAGTATCCTAGATGCGCTACCCTGCAGCCTCATCGGCATGAACTCGAAGCTCATGTGCCAGTACATCGAGTTCGTTGCCGACCGCCTGCTTCTCTCCCTCGGAAACGAGAAGATCTACAATGTCACGAACCCCTTTGACTTCATGGACATGATCTCGCTCCAGGGCAAGACCAACTTCTTCGAGAAGCGTGTCTCGGACTACAAGATGGCGTCCGTTAACAACACTGGCGAGGCCAAGCCCCAGGGCAAGTCTTTGTGAGTACTCTTGGTCGTCGTGAGCATGTGCATAGTTGTTGACTTTCCCTCGCAGCGTTCTCGACGAAGACTTCTAGGCGTGTTGTTGTTCGTTAGTTGGCTGTGTCAGAGCCTAGGTGGATCATGCTTTCCTGCGCGCATATCTATTTCTTTTTCTATCGGTATGTATCACTCATCCTCGCAATGTAACATTAGCATACAAGTCAGACCAAATAGATTGGTTGGGAGCGTATCTGGTGTGGGCTGTCTGGCGGTCGTCCGAATGGTATCGGTCAGTGCGCTCTGCATATGAGGTCTCGACCTTGGCTTTGCGAAGATAGATCTTGAATCTGCAGCTTCCCACCCGCGTTTGTTGACGGCCTTGCTCTTGTCCACCATGGCTTCTCAAGTGGCCTGCGCGTGCTGTCATGCTCTCTGCTTTCGTCCCTAACGTCAACGTTACTACTACTATACTACATATTGGTCTAAGTCACTCTTGTCAATACTTGAGTTGAAGTTGAAGTTGGACGTGTGCGCGTCACGTGTTTCTGCCCGGACACTGCCCGGGCAAAACTCTGCGCCCCTAAGCTCTCGGCGCTCGACGTCAACTGACCACCCGCCTGCGATTGGCAGTGGTAGTGACTGGTTAACCACCCGCAACCATACAAGGCATGCGCAAGGTTGGAGACCGGAGCTTTCTACGCATTGTTGACGTGTCCGCGTCTCCTGCATCCAATTGCCTCCCTCTTCCCTCACGAGCGATGATAATCACATCACGTCGCTCGCACAGAAATCCATGAAGAGAGGCAGTTGTATAAGGCAGGCGAAAACAAGAAAATGTCCATGCATTATGCGTACAAACAATCTACACAACGACGCCCCACCATCGCGCGGGTATCCGCCACGGGCGCGTTACCGCGAGGGGCTGATCCTGGGCGAGTGCGAGTGGGTGCTCCCGGCATGCGGCGAGCTCACCCGCCGCACATCGCTCGCGCTGCGCAGATGCGTATGCTCGTCCGCGTTCTCGTCCTCGGACTCGCTCTCCTCGCGCAGGTCGCTCAGACCGACGTTTTCACGCCCACCGCCGCTGCGCGAGTCGTACGCGTCGAAGAGCGTCTGGCGGTTGAACGAGTTGGCGCGGCCGTGCGAGCCGGGGCGGCTCTGCCGTCGCATGCCGCCTGCGCTGCCAGGGGCCTCGAGGTCCCAGCCGTCGACTGACATGCGGCCCTGCAGGCTGAGCCGCGGTGCCCAGACGCCGCCCTCGGCGTGCGGCGCGTCGTCGAGGGGGAGCTCGTTCGGGAGGTCGCGGGAGTAGTTAAGGAGGTGCACGCCAAGGAAGGTGATGATGAAGCCGCACAAGAGGGAGAGCGTGCTGCCCGG